TAAGGAGATGCCGACCCAGAGGGACAGCACTACCATGTCTCACCCGGTCGCAGGCGGCGGCTTCGGGGACCATTCTCACCAGGTCCGGGTGAAAGCCTACTACCGCGGGTGAGTGCCCTGGAATAGGGGCAGGAGGGCAGGGGAAAGGCCAGCTCGGCTCGGCCCGGAGGGTGGGAGGGTNAGGGGTGGAGATGTGGCGGGGTGCTCTGGGAGGGCGACTCTGGGGGCTCGGGATGGGTGACCGGGCGGTCCGGGGAGGAACGTGGGGCGCTGGGTTGGGGCACCCCCAAGGTGTGGTGCGGGGCGTCTGGGAGCCTTCCGGCTGAGGGTCCAGAGTAGGTCCGAGGGAGGAGCCTTGGAAAAGAGTTGGACCACCTGGTGGATTCGATAGACTCGCCTAATAAGAAATTTACAAGGGTTTGGGTCATTCAATCTGGACGTATTATGTGGGGTTGAGAATTGATTCCGAGTGATGCCTCAGTGAACTAAGTTTGCTATGGGCTTAAAAGACAGGGCTGCTTCAGTTTGCTGGCCCTTTTGATCTCCAGCAGGCCTAAAGCCTCTGTTTCTCTAAGTCAGGTTTATTTAATTGCCTAGAAGAGTTCGCGAAGTGTATCTGGACTATTGGTCAGGCTGCCAGTAAACTAGACATAGGAGTTATTATTTAAGAGTAGAGTTGATGCGTTTTCAGGGATGTGCATTAAGTACTTATGTGTCTCCAAGATTAGATTGTGTATGTGTAAAGTTTTGTGAACGCTTCTTTGCTGATGTTGCTTCGTGGACCGTCCAATAGGGTGAAATAATGCAAGGTGAGAAGAGAACGAGCCCAGGCACAGCTCGAAAATCTGTGATCTTTACTCATATTAAGTTATAACTCCTGTGGTTACCAGAAATCATCCAGTCCTTAGGTCGTTGTATTAAATCATATTCCAGAATCAGTGACCCGAAGCGTCCCCGTTCCTTTGAATTCAATTGTGGTTTGAAATTTCTTTGAGATAATTCTATTTAGGAGAATTAGACAGGGGAAATGTTAGTGTGACAATAATGGTTTGAAACTAAGGGTTAACAGAAAACCCAACTGTTTCGGTGTGTCTTACTGCTTGTCCAAGCAGAAATAAATTGCTTTTAAAAACTCAAGCACTAGGAGGTTGAAACTGCAATGCATACTTTGATATTCCTGAAGGGAGCAATGAAGACAGCATACTTTCAGAATGCCTCTGGTTTTGATTTCAAAGAAAACATAAGCCCCTAAATGTTACTGATTTGATGTAAGGAAATACTAGTTTAGTTTGTGTGCTGCCATGAAGCCTCTGACCTGTGTGTATTAATTAGCTTGACTGTATTCAGAAGTAGTTTACAGGCATTATTTTGGACAGTGTCAGTGTTTTTGCTTAAATTAAGGAGGTCTTGATTTTAAAACAATACCAAGAATTGTGCATACGCTTTTTTAAATGTTTGTAGTTGTCACAGTTGACTTGAGGATGGTCAGCTATGAACTTTGCACTATGGGGAAAAAAAACTTTGCTTATTTTATCTTTTAATTTAATAGATGAAATATTTCACTTTAGCATATGTTGTTCCTTTTTATGAAGTCTATAGCCCATGAGTTGTTAGGTACAGAGAATGAAATACAGTTCCTTTTTTCTTTTTAAGGTATCCGATTATTGACTGTTTAAAATAAAAGCTAGCTTAAAAATTGAATATACACACATGGTAGGAAAGTGCAGATTGTACAGATATAAAATAGTGTTCCCCATCCCACGTTCCTAGCCTCCAGAGATAATTGACAGTTTATTTTTGGTTCTTCTGGAGGTTGCCTTTATTATCTTAAAAGTTATAGTTCTGTTTTGTGATTTATCAACTTTAGATAATATCTTTTGATACTCTGAAAGATGAGAAATTGGATGCACACTACCTTTTGCCTTTTTTCCTCCTGGTGCCTCTCAATTTTTTATTGTTAATCTGTTTTAATTTTCTGGTTTACCTTTATGACTTTAAATAATATAAATTCTTGACTTATTAAATTTAGATAGTTTCCAATGATTCCAACTATGAAAGATGAAGAAACTGGTGCTTCTTTCTTTGTTCCCATTCTTATTAGTTTGACAAATGTAAATAGGCCTAATTAGTAATTTAAAATCATTGTAAGCTTCTCCTTTGGAAAGAAATCAAAGTCTGCTATACTTTTGAAATGTATTATCATATTTTCTTGGCTTATTTCTCCAATTATTTCAAAAAAAAAAAAAGGAGAGAGTATAAAGAGATATAACCATTTTGATGCTTGGCTGAAATTTCTCCAAGACATTCAAGTTAACATTTTCTTTGTTTTATTTTAAAATCTATGAATTTTTGCTTAGGAATGAAAGAACCCCTTGCCCTTTAGTGTTTTTAACTCAATGAAAGCTTTCTAATAATGCCTTCGTTTCAAGCCTCATTTAAAGACAACATCAGCACTCTAAATTGTACCAATTTCTGCCCTCTGAAATTAGATCTGTTAAGATTATATGTTTATTAACTGGTCTAAACTGATGGTTATGATATTATAGTCAGCTGCTCGTTACTACAGATGAAACTAAAATGAGTCACCAATGAGGATAGTTAATAAACAGGTTGGCTAACTAGAACACCTACCTGATTTTAAAATAGAAAACCCTTTTCTTTTCTTTTTAATATGTCTTTATTGATTTCAGAGAGAGGAAGGGAGGGGGAGAGAGAGTTGAAACATCCGTGATGAGAGAATCGTCATTGATCGGCTGCCTCCAGCACGCCCAGGACTGGGGATCAAGCCCACAGCCCCAGCACGTGCCCTGACGGAATCAAACCACGATCTCCTGGATCCTGTCAATGCTCAACCGCTGAGCCACGCCCGGCTGCACGAAAATCTTTCTTTTTATCAAGAAATGTAAGGACAGTCTGCATTGGAAAAAAAGTATTTTCTTTCAGACTTTTTGAATGACTATTATCCCAGCGCTTTCCCCTTATTTCCTTCTAACAATATTTCCAGTGAGTGTTGAATCTCAGAATAGCAGCATTTTTGTAGTGAATAAATGACCCTGTCCTTTCAAAGATGTGTATAGTGTTATCTATCATTCTGTTAAATTTGTTCTTAATGTACATGTGATGTCTCCCTAGATATAACAGACATTTAATTAGATTTTTTTCTAGTTTTTAAGCACGAGATTAATAGCACTGAGAATCTGACTTTATTGGAGCCCACTTAAGAGTGCTTGTCTCACAGCCTGTACCCCTATTTTCTTGCCATGGTAGCTTGTCAGTGAGTGGCCCTCCTTCAGTAATTACCTAGTGGTGTTATTTTGGAGAAAGAGAAACAGGTTTTGTTGGATAGTGATAGGTTGCTATTGGATGTGATTATCTTTATATAATGTTACTTGATATTATGGGATCAAATTTAACAAGGAAATGTCTGGACTACTCATTTCTTTACATTATAAGTGTGTGGGAAATTTTGCAAAAAGCTTGTAAAAAATGCTTTTTCACCCACTGCTGTTGAGCAGTTATAACAATCCGGAGGATTCTTTGTGTGCACATCTACAGATAAAAAGATTGTTAACTCTGTGCACATTTGGAATGTATAGCTGGTTCAGTGAAGACATAGGCAGGATTTTTTTTCACTGTTAACAAGTCTTGACAAGACTTGTTTTTAAAAGTATTGCAAAATAATTTTAGTGATACACTTTAGTAATGGTTCTAAGGAAGTAAAAATAGTGTATTGAGTTGAGAGTTGGGGGAATGCTAGTTATTGGTCCTGGATTTTGGGATGGCACCTAACCATGGGGTAATTGATCCATAGCTTTATGGGAGAGAGAGAAAGGACATAGTGGCCTGGTGCCCAAAACCAAAACAACCCTTTCTGAAATTTGAATTGAATGAGGCGGAGATAAATTGCTTGTTAGCAATGAGGATTGAAGCTGAAGAGTTGAGGGAGAGGCTGGTGGGTCCTGGACCGGCCATGTGCAAACTGAAGGCCTGACAAAGCAGAGGAGAAAGAAGCAGTTCTCTACAGAAAATTCTCCCTAGAGGTCCATGATAGCTTTAATATAACTCCCAGACCTCTTTTTAAGGTAACTTGAGTGTTTGTTTTTTTATGATTGAAATGAACCTAGGTAAAACATGAATTTTAAAAATTCCAGTCCTGCTTATAATTTCACATATTATTTAAGTGTGTTTAAACTCAGCTTAAAAAATATTGTTGGTCTTGGCTGGTGTGGCTCAGTTGGTTAGAGCATCATCTGTGCCCCAAAAGGTCGCCGGTTCGATTCCTGGTCAGGGCACATACCCAGGTTGTGGGATCAATTCCCGGTCAGGGCGAGTTCTGGAGGCAACCAATCAATATCTCCCCCCCCTTCTTCCCTCTCTCCTCCTCTCACCTTCCCTTCCTCTCTCTCTAGAATCAATGAAAAGCATGTCCTTGGCTGAGAATCAAAATACATATATATTGTTGAACACCTACTGTAAGCCAGGCACATGGTGCGAGGGTGGGCCCAGAGGATTTAGAGGTGGATAGTACAAGGCGCTGCCCTTGAGGAACTGAGAAACTTATAGGAGGAAAGACATAGAAGAGTTAATAAAGGGGTGTGTGTAAAGTATGGATACTGGGGAGGAGTTTGGGGTGAGGGAAGCCTTCCTAGAAGATGGAATGTTTGAGGCTCTTAAAGGGTAAGTAGGTTTGCTCGATGGATGGGGCATCCATTGGGCCGGGCATCATTCCAGGCGTTGCACAGCTGCGTGATATGTTTGGGGAATTAAGGTCAGTTTAGTTGTTTAGTCCCGTATGCATTCCTTATTAGGAAATGAAGTGTGAAGTGGGCACTGATGTTCAGAAGTGAGGCTAATAAGACAGTTCACAGGCACTAGTTTGTGAAGACTCCAGAATATCTCATATTGTGGGCCTGAGACTTTTTCTCATTGAAGATGAAGATGCACAATTAGATTTTCATTTTTAGAAAGATCACTCTGGGTACCTGTATGGGAGATGAATTGGCCATGGATGAGACTAATTGGGAGGCTTTGGAAGTAGTCCAGGTGATAGATTCTGGGGATGGAAAAGAAGATATGGATTTGGTGGTGATTTTAGGGGGTAGAATCAA